TTTCACATTTATGATTTAAATCAATGTCAAATTTAGGTAAACATTCCATATTAATTAATCTACGCAAAAATCCATAATTAACATGTCCAAGTCTACCATGCCATAAATTTGAAGATTCAAGCAAATAAGAAGAAGATGTATTTTATTAATAACAGAGGATACAATAGTCATTACATTCATTTCGAAAAGGCCATCAGACATGTAACATTTTCCTACATACAGCTCGTTTTTGAAAAGTTTTTGGTAAGTGCAAACTTGTCACTTTCAAAAACTAGCCTAAACCCACTTTTACTCAACAAAGATCCGGAGACAAGATTCTTGTGAATGTCTGGTACATGCAGCACATTGTTGAGAGTAAGTTCCTTTCCAGATGTCATCTTCAAAATAATCTTTCCTTGTTCTTCAACGTTAGAAGTCAAGGAGTTGCCCATAAAAAGTTGTTCACCGTTGTCCACTGTAGAATAAGATGTCAACATCTTTTTGTCGGCACAGATGTGACGAGTAGCACCAGTGTCCGCCCACCATTTTTTAGGATTTCCAACAAGGTTTGCCTCGGAAACAACTGCAGAAAGATTTGTCATTTACACCATTGGAAATTTTGTCCACTTCAGTCATATTGGCTTGAGCAAGCTTCTTGCTTGTTCTTCTTTTGCTTTTGCCTTTGCTATGACAATCTTTGGCCCGATGTCCCTCTTTGTCACAGATGTAACACTTGCTATTAAACTTGTACTTTTTAGTTTTCCCTCCTTTAGAGCCTTGTGAGGAACTTTCTCCAAAATACTTTCGTTTCTTGATTTTTGGAGCATGTTCTACCACATTTGCCTTTGACTCTATTGGATGCTTACTAGCCCGCTTCTCTGAATTGCGGTTATCCTCCTCAATCCTCACATGCACAATTAATTCCTCCAAAGACATTTTTTTACGCTTGTGTTTGAGGTAGCTCTTGAATTCCTTCTAGTCTTGTGGTAATTTCTCAATTAAGGCTGCAACTTGGAAGGATTCACCGAGAGACATGCCTTCTGCATGAATATCATGCAAAATGAGTTGGAGATTTTGAACTTGGCTGATCACAGTCTTAGAATCAACCATCACAAAGTCCAGGAATTTGTCAACCACAAATTTCTTTGAGCCAGCATCTTCTGTTTTGTACTTTTTCTCCAAAGACTCCCAAAGTTTCTTTGCCATTTTGATAGGACTGTAGACATTGTATAATGTGTTGTCAAGTCCGTTCAAGATGTAGTTCCAACAAAGGAAATCAGCATGTTTCTAGGCATTGACCGCAACAACCACTTGCCGATCAGTTTCATCCTCGTTTAGAATAGGAGCATTCTCATGGAGAAAAAGAGCCAGGTTCAGAGTTGTAAGATAGAATAGCATTTTCTATTGCCATATTTTAAAATCAGTTCCTGCGAACTTCTCTGCCTTCTCATCGTGATTGACTGGCACAGTCACAACAGGAGGCGTTGGAGCAATTGGAACCACCACACTAGTACTTGTTTGAGCATTAGTTTGACCAGTTTCAGTAGCCATGAATTCTAAATTATAAAACAAAATTATAATTAGAATTTTATACTACACAGAAAACTTAAACCAAAGCCACAGTATTAAATTCTGTAAAAATAAATGAAACAAGAATTGTAACTTTTATTTCCAATTAATTTGAAATTAAAATAAAATTTTATTTAAACAAATTAATTCCACATAGAAAATTAAATTTCTGTAACACTTCAATAATTAAAATACTGAAACAGAATTTTAATTAATGAACACTCATAAATTATTTCTAAAAACCAAACTTAATTTCTGACAAACTTCACAAATAAATATTCTGAATTGTTAACGACACCAGTATATTACTACTAGTTGTTAAAGAAAATAAACAGTTTATTACTACTATTTATTTTTCCAACCAAAATATTATTTTGTAAAGCCACAGAAAATAATTTCTGTAAGAAGAAGAAAAGAAAAAAGGAAACAAACGAAAAATTCCGTATAAACAGAATAATTCGAGTCTGTCTTAACATTGTTGAAACAATCTTCTATGTAAAATAAATAATTTGAAACTAAATCAAACAAATAAAAATAAATTACTTACAAAATTTATTTTACCGTACCGAATAAACATTTAAATGATCAAGTCGAGTGTGTGACACTCTGTCCTTAAGGCAGATTCACTCCGCTATGGTACTTACGAATGAATGACGTCTATCTCCCAAGATACAATGATCTTCACAAATTGTAGTAGCACTCCAAACAATTTGTAGGGTGAACCAAACCTGTGTTCTATACTCTCAAAGTATTCTCTAAAATTAGTATGAAGAATTATGCAAAGAAAGAGTAAAACTGGGAAGGGGACAGATTTTTTTGGAAGTTTTTGATGATACAAAAATGTTGGAATTGGGTCTCTATTTATAGGCAAAAAAAAGACCTGAATAGGTAAGTTCTTTGAATTGAACAGGTGCAAAATTAAACTGGATAGATACAGTTTGAAATTCAAACAGATCTGGTGGCAGATTCAACAGATAACGGCATGGTAGTTTAATCTGTCTGGGCAGTTTTCAAATTGCTATAAAAGCAGTTTGAATTTGTTCGAAATTTGAACCTGTTGTGGAATTTGGAAGAGGCATAAATTTTGGACAAAAATTTGAATTCAAATTCAAATAATTTCTTGCAAGAATTTGAAAAAATTTAAATAAATTTTATCTAAAAAATTAAAGTTAGAATCGACCCGACCGATCGGACAAACGGCGGTGGCGCGCGCGCGTGTGGTGGTTTGAACCATGTTTCAAGTTGTCCATAACTCCTCCCTTCTACAAACTTGGGGTGCCCCTTGGGGCGCAACCCAAGTGTTGTCACCTAAAACTTATATACACCAAAAAACTCACTTAAAGTTTCAATGTAGGACAAGCCTTATAAGAAAACCCACATTAATTCTTTAATTGTCCATTCCACGAACCTGAAAACGACTTTAAGTTCCCATTCACTCATAAATGGTTTTGACAAACCGTCTTCACCTTGTGACTTGTCATGCGGTAAGGAACATGTCACCTCTTTAGACCCACCCCAAAAGACGTTTGGCACCCACTTAAATTTGGACTCAAAATTGACTCAAAATAAACCTATAAAATCATATTTTCCAACATATAATACGTCGTCAAATTACTTAAGAGAGAATTAATGCCCGGTGAGGACAAAAAAAAAAATCAATGATAAATTTTATACACTTTACTAATTAAAATGTTATATTTTTTTATTTTTATAATTTTTTTACTGTACTCCGAACCCACGATACAGTTATTTCCCCTTTATTGGGTACACTAATGCTGGCAATTTCCTTCTAAATTTTTGGATCTTACTTTTTTTTCCCTGAAAAACTAACCCCCAGTTTAGTTTGGTTTGGTTTGGTTTAGTTTAATTTTAAAATTATGATTTGAGTATAAAGTTATGATTTAAGTGTAGAGTTGTGAGTTAAGTTTTCAAAAGAGAAAAATTTATTTGGTTATGAATTTTAAATTTTTTTTTGAGTTTTGAAAAGAATTTGAGTTATATTTTGAGTTTTGAGTTTTGAGTTTTGAGTTTTTGAATTTTAAGTTATATTTTGAAATTTTTGAAATTTATTTTTTTTAAATATTTTTTAATTTAAATTTTTTTTTTTACTATTTTAAACTCAAAACACAACTCCACACTGAAATTAAAACCAAATACTCAAAATTCAATTCAAAAATTCTTTTTAAACTCATAACCAAACTCTTTTCCAAATTCTATTTACAAAAATTCGACAATATTTTTTATTTTGTACTTTAAAATCGTTTTTTATTTTATATTTTCTTGAAAAAAAATATTTTTATTTTAATTTTTAAAAAAAATAAATTTGTTGTTTTTTTAAGTATTGACCAAATAATTTGTTATGATTTAGATATATATGGCGATCCAAATTGCAACGCCCTCAAAATAATACACAATCCTAACATTAAATAGTTCTATATTCATGATAGATAATCACATTTCTATACATACATCAAAATTAATATTACAAAAGGGTATTTCTTATATGTTCCAAATGTTTACAAAAATAGTAGAATGCCCTGTGACTTACATCTTTCCAAGTATTACTTTTTTTTTTTTTTTGTGAGTGAATAAGAAATAAAATAAAACAGAGAAATTTATACAAATACAAGGGGCAAACCCGAGGCCCTACCCCAAGCTACAGCAACAACGCAAAAGAAACAGCAAACTAAACTAAAATCTAAAATTACAATATAGCTGCCATCAGACTATAAACCTGCCATAACCAAAAACAAGATCCGGAACAAACATTCCAACCGAGCATACCATAAACTTGTTCAAGAACCATGTCCCAAACAGATAAGGGTCTTCAACAATAACTTTGGCAGCCCAAGAGTGCCCCCTGATTCGGCAATAGCACAACATCCACCGTGAAATCCCTATAAACCAGCCCTATACTAAGACTCCAGCATATCCAACATGAAACACAAAAAGCCCAAAGAGGGGAAGTATTTACAATATCCAAAAAACCCAACCAACCAAAGAAGAATATATACAACCCGAAAGTAAGACACCTTATAGACCCATTGAAATGCCTAGACAAGGCGCAACTTGCAGCCGTTGCCGAAGAGCATCCCCAAATCGAATGCATCTGCCAAGAAGGGTGCAAAATGCAGCCACCACCACGCCACCATACATATTTCAAAATAACCTGCCCAATGAGAAGGAAAAAATAAGTGCTAATATTCCAAGTATTACTTGGTTACACACAGGGACGGAACCAAGAATTTATCTGCGGGGGGGCCAAGACATAAATAAATTTTTTTATATGAATTGATATAAATTACTATTTTTTTGAATTCAAAAAGTAAACTAAAATTTAATATTAAATTAGTACGTAAAAAATAAAACCATATATTTACTAAATTTAATATATGAATAAAAGCAAAGTCATGTATTAAAAAATTATTTATACAAATCAACTCAATTATCTATCAAAGTGGAACTCGACGTTCTTTCATATCTCGAAAGTCTTCAATGATTGACTCTGTGGTAAAATGTTCAGCAATTTCCTTTTCAATGTACACAAGCAAAGAGTCTGTAAGAAATTCATCTTCCATTTTGTTGCGAAGTCTACTTTTGACAATTTTCATGGCTGAAAATGATCGCTCCGTAATTGCAGTAGAAACTGGTAGAGTAAGAACAAGTGTAATGACTCTATAAACAAGTTGATAGATTGTAGATTTGTTTGTCCTTACCAACCACTGACACAATTCAGAAATAGTAGACAATTTTTTGTAATTTGCATGCTGAACTACATTATGCTCGTAATGGTGAAGTTGCATTCTCAACTGTATTTTCTCTTGATCTTTGAAGTCTTGCAGATAAAAATTTTCTACTAACCGACAAATATCGTCGATTCTAAAAGTTTCAGACACATCTCGAGGATCTAGAGCTGAGCTAAGATTAAGCAACTCTACTGCATGTTCACTGAACCGTCCATTTAATTCTTGAAGTTGAGAATCTATTGCAGCATGAAAAATATCTACTCGATAATAATGCTCAACTGTAAAGTCATCTTGATGATCACGAGCTCGACCTCTTCTCCTAATATAAGGAGCATTCATATTCGGGACATCTATGTTACGTACCTCGCAAAATGATTGCACATTGGCTAGTAAAGCATCCCATTTGCCATCTCTAAACTTTTGTAGAAGTGCCTTGGTAGATGAAACTAGATTCATTGCATTTAAGATGTCTTGAGATCGGCATTGTAAAGCTTGACAAAGTAAATCAGTGATCTCCAACATTTCTTTCATGAGATGCAAAAACAAGACAAATTCAAATGAAGTCAATGTTTCATAAGCTGAGTCTGCATCTCCTCGTTGGGCAGAAGTCGTTCCTTCATTAATGATATTAAGAAGAACTTCACATGTTGGACTGAATATTTTTATTAAGCTTGAAACTGACTTGAAGTGAGAACTCCAACGAGTATCTCCAGCTCGTTGTAAAGTGCCAATCTGGTTAAGTCCCTTTCCAGTCTCGAGCTCATCAATGTCAATCATATGTTCAATTTCAGCAGCTTGTGCAACTTTTAATTCATCATTGCGCTTGCATGAGGCACCAACAACATTGACAACAAAAGTCAATTTAAGAAAAAATTTATGAATTGCGATAACATCTTTCGATGCTGCCACTAAAGCCAACTGCAAACGATGTGCAAAACAATGAATATAATAAGCATATGGACAATCATTCAAAACTAATGCTTGTAATCCTTTCCACTCACCTCGCATATTGCTTGCACCATCGTATCCTTGTCCTCGAATATTCTGAATATCTAAATTGTGATGAGACAATACAGAATATATTCCATCTTTTAGGGTTGATGCAGCAGTGTTAGAGACATAAATAAGCCCAAAAAAACGCTCTCTCACAAAACCATCTTTGTCAATGAATCTTAAAACTATAGCCATTTGCTCCTTCTTTGACTCATCACGAGCTTCATCAACAATTATGCAACGCTTTGCATCACCAATTTCTTCACAATCAAATGTATGTTTTAAGCACACTTTGCGGAGTGGCAAAATCATGTTGTTTTAAGCCCACTTAGGGTGGCAAAATCCGCGCTTTAGCCCACTTGCGAGTGGCATTTTCAAACCATTTTCGAAAACAAAATGAATTGTTTTGTTCAATTCTCGCGATTTGAGTCTATATCTTGTATGCTGGCGCATCACATACTAAGGTTAGCAATAAACAGGATAAGAACGCATGTGTTTATAAAAAACAACATATCATGTTAGTAGAGGCCGATCTTTTGATCAGCGAGCGGGGTTGCTCATTTCAGGACCTTCCCCTCTCGTACCAAAGTTTCCAAGCGAGGCAACTTTGGTGATGACGGACACGTAGCTTTCGGCAGAGTCAGGGTTTCCTAAACTTTCCAAAACAAAATATTTAGGTGGCAATTTGTAATCTGGAAAGCAGTCCATGTTGGCGCTTTTTGATTAAATCGATTTTCCAAAACGATTTGTCGATTTGGACTCTTTGGTGATTTATTAGTCTTACACTTGCACTTTGTGAGATTAGATTCAGAACCATGATCGGAGTCCAAACTGTACTAGCAGGCCCAATTCGCACCCTCTCCGAAAGGGGGGCACCGAAGAGAGTTCGGGGGTCTACACAATGGCAATTAGCATTCTAATGGATGTATTTTAGTTACCAGTGATATGTGTCAAAGTAATCAAGACCTTTTTTTGTCTAAATCCTTTGTCACAAGTCTTGCCTTGTATTTGTCAATTGATCCATCCGCTTTCATTTTTGTTTTGAAAATTCACTTGTGCCAGTACAAGAGCAAATCCACAATTCCCAAGTGAATTTTGTAGGATGGATTCAACTTCGTTGTTTACACGCTTCTTCCATGAAGGAGTCTCAGGATGGACATAACTTCTTTAAAAGTTAAAGGCTCATTTTCTGACAAAAATGTTAGGAAATCTGGACCAAAAGATTTTGAGGTTCTAGCACATTTATTACGCCTAGGTTCCTCTTCATCAATTTGTTCTATCTCTTGCTTTGTTCTTATCATGACTAGTAATAGCGTCATAAGATCTTTTTTATTACTAGTCTTTTGTCCATTTTATTTGGAAACACATGTTCAAACAAAGACGCATTCTGAGATTCAATAATAGTATTTACATACATTTCAAAATGTTCTGACTTATGAATCAAAAATCGATATGCACTACTATTCATGGAATAACCATTGAAAATGCAATCAACAGTTTAGGACCTATTTTAGTCTTTTTAGGACCAAGATAGCCACTTTAGCAAACACTCCCACCTTTTAAGTATTTGTAGGATGGTACTCTCCCATGCCACAATTCATAAGGTGTTTGATCAGTTTCTTTTGTGGTACTTTATTAAGTATATAATTAGCATAAAGTAGTGCTTCCCCCACAAGTTCTGAGGTAATCTAAAACTTATTAACATGGCATTTATCATTTCTTTTAAGTCCTATTTTCTTTTCAGCAATTCCATTTTGCTGAGGTGAGTAAGGAGCGATGGTTTATAAATTATTCTATGTTCTTTACAAAACTCACCAAAGGTAATTCTTATTCACCACCTCTATCACTTCTTAGTTTTTTAATTTTCTTACAAAGTTGATTTTCAAGTTCATTCTTAAATTGAATGAAAGTTTCCAAAGCTTCATCCTAATATAAACATAACTATATCTAGTATAGTCATCTAGAAATGATAAAATATTTTTCCCACCTCTGCTTGAATTGATTTAAAATCACAAATGTCACTATGAATTAATTCAAGTGGTTCCGTAGTTCTTTCAATTGTATGAAAATAAGTTTTGGATAATTTTGCTTCAACACAAATTTCACATTTATGATTTAAATCAATGTCAAATTTAGGTAAACATTCCATATTAATTAATCTACCGCAAAAATCCATAATTAACATGTCCAAGTCTACCATGCCATAAATTTGAAGATTCAAGCAAATAAGAAGAAGATGTATTTTATAATAACAGAGGTACAATAGTCATTACATTCATTTCGAAAAGGCCATCAGACATGTACTTTTCCTACATACAGCTCGTTTTTGAAAAGTTTTTGGTAAGTCAAACTGTCACTTTCAAAAAACTAGCCTAAACCTACTTTCTCAAACAAGATCCGGAGACAAGATTCTTGTGAATGTCTGGTACATCGCAGACATTGTTGAGAGTAAGTTCCTTTCCAGATGTCATCTTAAAAATAACTCTTCCTTGTTCTTCAACTTAGAAGTCAAGGAGTTGCCCATAAAAAGTTGTTCACCGTTGTCCACTGTAGAATAAGATGTCAACATTTTTTGTCGGCACAGATGTGACGGTAGCACTAGTGTCCGCCCACTATTCTTTAGGATTTCCAACAAGGTTTGCCTCGAAAACAACTGCAGAAAGTTTGTCATTTACACCATTAGAAATTTTGTCCACTTCAGTCATATTGGCTTGAGCAAGCTTCTTGCTTGTCTTCTTTTTGCTTTTGCCTTTGCTAGACAATCTTTGGCCCGATGTCCCTCTTTGTCACAGATGTAACACTTGCTATTAAACTTGTACTTTTTAGTTTTCCCTCCTTTAAGCCTTGTGAGGAACTTTCTCAAAATACTTTCGTTTCTTGTTTTTGGAGCATGTTCTAACAATTTGCCTTTGACTCTATTGGATGCTTACAGCCCGCTTCTCTGAATTGCGGTTTCCTCCTCAATCCTCACATGCACAATTAATTCCTCCAAAGACATTTTTTTAGCTTGTGTTTGAGGTAGTCTTGAATTCCTTCTAGTCTTGTGGTAATTTCTCAATTAAGGCGCAACTTGGAAGGATTCACCGAGAGACATGCCTTCTGCATGAATATCATGCAAAATGAGTTGGAGATTTTGAACTTGGTGATCACAGTCTTAGAATCAACCATCACAAAGTCAGGAATTTGTCAACCACAATTTCTTTGAGCCAGCATCTTCTTTTGTACTTTTTCTCCAAAGACTCCCAAAGTTTCTTTGCCATTTTGATAGGACTGTAGACTTGTATAATGTGTTGTCAGTCCTTCAAGATGTATTCCAACAAAGGAAATCAGCATGTTTCTAGGCATTGACCGCAACAACCACTTGCCGATCAGTTTCATCCTCGTTTAGAGTACGAGCATTCTCATGGAGAAAAGAGCCAGGTTCAGAGTTGTAAGATAGAATAGCATTTTCTATTGCCATATTTTAAAATCAGTTCCTGCGAACTTCTCTGCCTTCTCATCGTGATTGACTGGCACAGTCACAACAGGAGCGTTGGAGCAATTGGAACCACCACACTAGTACTTGTTTGAGCATAGTTTGACCAGTTTCAGTAGCCATGAATTCTAAATTATAAAACAAAATTATAATTAGAATTTTATACTACACAGAAAATCTTAACCAAAGCCACAGTATTAAATTCTGTAAAAATAAATGAAACAAGAATTGTAACTTTTATTTCAATTAATTTGAAAAAATAAAATTTTATTTAAACAAATTAATTCCACATAGAAAATTAAATTTCTGTAACACTTCAATAATTAAAATACTGAAACAGAATTTTAATTAATGAACACTCATAAATTATTTCTAAAAACCAAACTTAATTTCTGACAAACTTCACAAATAAATATTCTGAATTGTTAACGACACCAGTATATTACTACTAGTTGTTAAAGAAAATAAACAGTTATTACTACTATTTATTTTTCCAACCAAAATATTATTTTGTAAAGCCACAGAAAATAATTTCTGTAAGAAGAAGAAAAGAAAAAAGGAAACAAACGAAAAATTCGTATAAACAGAATAATTCGGGTCTGTCTTAACATTGTTGAAACAATCTTCTATGTAAATAAATAATTTGAAACTAAATCAAACAAATAAAAATAAATTACTTACAATTTATTTTTACCGTACCGAATAAATTTAAATGATCAAGTCGAGTGTGACACTCTGTCCTTGACAGATTCACTCCGCTATGGTCTTACGATGAATGACGTCTATCTCCAAGATACATGATCTTCACAAATTGTAGTAGCACTCAAACAATTTGTAGGGTGAACCAACCTGTGTTCTATACTCTCAAAGTATTCTCTAAAATTAGTATGAAGAATATGCAAAGAAAGAGTAAAACTGGGAAGGGGACAGATTTTTTTGGAAGTTTTTGATGATACAAAAATGTTGGAATTGGGTCTCTATTTATAGGCAAAAAAAAGACCGAATAGGTAAGTTCTTTGAATTGAACAGTGCAAAATTAAACTGGATAGATACAGTTTGAAATTCAAACAGATCTGGTGGCAGATTCAACAGATAACGGCATGGTAGTTTAATCTGTCTGGGCAGTTTTCAAATTGCTATAAAAGCAGTTTGAATTGAATTTGAACCTGTTGTGGAATTTGGAAGAGGCAAAATTTTGGACAAAAATTTGAATTCAAATTCAAATAATTTCTTGCAAGAATTTGAAAAAATTTAAATAAATTTTATCAAAAATTAAAGTTAGAATCGACCCGACCGTCGGACAAATGGCGTGGCGCGCGCCGTGTGGTGGTTTGAACCATGTTTCAATTGTCCATAACTCCTCCCTTCTACAACTTGGGTGCCCTTGGGCGCAACCCAAGTGTTGCACCTAAAACTTATATACACAAAAAACTCACTTAAAGTTTCAATGTAGGACAAGCCTTATAAGAAAACCCACATTAATTCTTTAATTGTCCATTCACGAACCTGAAAACGACTTTAAGTTCCCATTCACTCATAAATGGTTTTGACAAACCGTGCGGTAAGGAACATGTCACCTTTTAGACCCCCCCAAAACGTTTGGCACCCACTTAAATTTGGACTCAAAATTGACTCAAAATAAACCTATAAAATCATATTTTCCAACATATAATACTCGTCAAATTACTTAAAGAGAATTAATGCCGGTGAGGACAAAAAAAAAAAAATCAAATGATAAATTTTATACACTTACTAATTAAAATGTTATATTTTTTTATTTTTATAATTTTTTACTGTACTCCGAACCCACGAATAGTTATTTCCCCTTTATGGGTACACTAATGCTGGCAATTTCCTTCTAAATTTTTGGATCTTACTTTTTTTTCCCTGAAAAACTAACCCCATTTAGTTTGGTTTTGGTTTGTTTAGTTTAGTTTAATTTTAAAATTATGATTTAGTATAAAGTTATGATTTAAGTGTAGAGTTGTGATTAAGTTTTGAAAAGAAGAAAATTTTATTGGTTATGAATTTTAAAAATTTGAGTTTTGAAAAGAATTTGAGTGTATTTTGAGTTTTGAGTTTTGAATTTTGAGTTATATTTTGAAATTTTTGAAATTTATTTTTTAAATATTTTTTAATTTAAATTTTTTTTTTTACTATTTTAAAACTCAAAACACAACTCCACATTGAAATTACAACCAAAACTCAAAATTCATTCAAAAATTCTTTTTAAACTCATAACCAACTCTTTTCAAATTCTATTTAAAAAAATTCAAAAATATTTTTATTTTGTACTTAAAATCGTTTTTTATTTATATTTTCTTGAAAAAAAATTTTTTTTATTTTAATTTTAAAAAAATAAATTTGTTGTTTTTTTAAGTATTGACCAATAATTTGTTATGATTTAAATATATATGGCGATCCAATTGCAACGCCCTCAAAATAAACACAATCCTAACATTAAATAGTTCTATATTCATGATAGATAATCACATTTCTATACATACATCAATTAATATTACAAAAGGGTATTTCTTATATGTTCCAAATGTTTACAAAAATAGTAGAATGCCCTGTGACTTAATCTTTCCAAGTATTACTTTTTTTTTTTTTTTGGGAGTGAATAAGAATAAAATAAAACAGAGAAATTTATACAAATACAAGGGGCAAACCCAGGCCCTACCCCAAGCTACAGCAACAACGCAAAAGAAACAGCAACTAAACTAAAATCTAAAATTACAATAAAGCTGCCATCAGACTATAAACCTGCCATAACCAAAAACAAGATCCGGAACAAACATTCCAACCGAGCATACCATAAACTTGTTCAAGAACATGTCCCAAACAGATAAGGGTCTTCAACAATAACTTTGGCAGCCCAAGATGCCCCTGATTCGCAATAGCACACAATCCACCGTGAAATCCCTTAACCAGCCCTATACTAAGACTCCAGCATATCCAACATGAAACACAAAAGCCCAAGAGGGGAAGTATTTACAATATCCAAAAAACCCAACCAACCAAAGAAGAATATATACAACCCGAAAGTAAGACACCTTATAGACCCATTGAAATGCCTAGACAAGGCGCAACTTGCAGCCTTCCGAAGAGCATCCCAAACGAATGCATCTGCCAAGAAGGGTGCAAAATGCAGCCACCACCACGCCACCATACATATTTCAAAATAACCTGCCCAATGAGAAGGAAAAATAAGTGCAATATTCCAAGTATTACTTGGTTACACACAGGGACGGAACCAAGAATTTATTGCGGGGGGCCAAGACATAAATAAATTTTTTATATGAATTGATATAAATTACTATTTTTTTGAATTCAAAAAGTAAACTAAAATTTAATATTAAATTAGTACGTAAAAAATAAAACCATATATTTACTAAATTTAATATATGAATAAAAGCAAAGTCATGTATTAAAAAATATTTATACAAATCAACTCAATTATCTATCAAAGTGGAACTCGACGTTCTTTCATATCTCGAAAGTCTTCAATGATTGACTCTGTGGTAAAATTTTCAGCAATTTCCTTTTCAATGTACACAAGAAAGAGTCTGTAAGAAATTCATCTCCATTTTGTTGCGAAGTCTACTTTTGACAATTTTCATGGCTGAAAATGATCGCTCCGTATTGAGTAGAAACTGGAAGAGTAAAGAACAAGTGTAATGACTCTATAAACAAGTTGATGATGTAGATTTGTTTGTCCTTACCAACCACTGACACAATTCAGAAATAGTAGACAATTTTTTGTAATTTGCATGCTGAACTACATTATGCTCGTAATGGTGAAGTTGCATTCTCAACTGTATTTTCTCTTGATCTTTGAAGTCTTGCAGATAAAAATTTTCTACTAACGACAATATCGTCGATTCTAAAAGTTTCAGACACATCTCGAGGATCTAGAGCTGAGCTAAGATTAAGCAACTCTACTGCATGTTCACTGAACCGTCCATTTAATTCTTGAAGTTGAGAATCTTGCAGCATAAAAAATATCTACTCGATAATAATGCTCAACTGTAAAGTTATCTTGATGATCATGAGCTCGACCTCTTCTCTTAATA